TAGAATGTACTATAGAGAAACTGGTTTGGCAGGATTATAACAGGGGTTATTAGTTAAAAAGCATCCCATGATAAATAAGCTTGGAAATTATGAATCAAATTAAATAGCTTTATGTACTTCAGGGTTATCAGATCTTAAGTTGTGATAGTGGATACTTAAATTTTCAGGAGGTAATTATGGTCGGCAGCATTTCTCAAGATCATTTTACCATGCATACATTTATCTTGGAGCATCTTTTGGAAATCTGCTTTGAAAAGTAAAGGCCTAATTTAATACTGTGACAGAGCCTCGGAAATCTAGGCTCATGATCTTATCAACATAAAAAATATATATATATGGAGAGATTAATGTTCCCAGAATTCTCTAAACCAGGAAATACATAGTTTCTTCTCTCTTTCTTATTCCCTGGTTTGCCATGATAAACCAAATAATTCTAATTTTAGAAAGATTCAATTCTCTTTATTTAAAAACTATTTTTTTCTCCCTCTTTTGTTTACTTACATATCATACTTTAAATTGCTTATAGGTACCATAGATAAAATCTGCAGCTTTCATAGTTTGGGGAGATCCGATATGGAGAAAAGACAAACATTTCCATTTTAGTCATAACAGTATAATTTACCAAGTTTCTGTAAGCTATAGGTACCTTAAAAGAAAAAAGTTTCCTTAAATATGAAATATAAAATATTTAACAACCAGCAATATTTTAAATAAAAGTCATAAAATTCAATTGTTCAGCAGTTTAGTCTTTCATAATTATTGTTCTGTTTAATCTTGTATGAATTTGTCTGTTATTTTTAATATAGTTCTAGAAGTTTTTAGCCTATCGATTTTTAAAATTATGAGAAACCTGCATTTAAGAGTACTTGTTGGTCTTTTTCATGCATCTATTGGCGATGCCTTTCTAGAAGAACCAAAACTGTAGATGAAAAAAATTACAATAGCCATGGTTAAAAATCTGATGTGAATTCATTGTAACTAACAATTAACAAGAACATTTAGTTACTTCTATTTTATTCAGTATTTTAAAATAACAACCAGAGTAATGACTGACAGCATTGCACCAAGACCATTAGGACTTTATAAATTTTACATGGTTTTTAGAATATTCACATCAAGAACACATTCACATACATGTAGGTTAAAGAAGATTTAGCATCACTTATTAGAGATGACTCAATTTTTCCAGGAAATCCGAAACCTAGTAAAGACAGTAAAAAGCACAATAGACCATCTTAATAAAACACAAAATCTCCATTTCCTAGGCTGACTAATTAAAAGGTAAAGAAAAACCTGCTGCAGTATGATTTTTTTTTTTCTTACGGGAAGCACATTTAGATAAGTTGGAAATTGAACTTAATGAGAAGGTACTTGAATTCAAGTTGACATTGAAAGAGTGTATGTCTAAAGTTATCAGTATACACCATATTATAGAAGAATAATGTAAACAAGAAAATCAATACTTTGAGCAAGGGCATGCATGGCTTTTAGAAAAAGCAAGAGCATGTGAAACTGCCTGGATACATGAAATAATTTAGGCGCATCAAGAAAAGTGAAGAGTACAGAATCAAGTTATACTGAAGGAAACATTGTTCTCCTAGGCCTTTAAGACAAACATTCTCAGCAACAGGCCACAATAGCAGTCAGAACTGAAAAAAAAAAAAAAAAGGTATACAGGAACTGACAAAAAATATGTTGGAAAGAGTCACCACTTTAGTTAAGCAAAATGGTGTAGCATTTCAAGGAGAGAAAGAAGGAGAGCAGAAAGCAATGATGTGTGAATGCATGACTTGTAAATCCCATGTAGTGAGATGCAGTAAAATACTGAATTATCGAGGTAGGAATCTAAAAAACTTGAAAAGAAAAACTCTATCTTGAGAAGTAAAATTATTTTAAAAGCACAAGACAACACTTCCAACTTAAAATTTGGTAGGAACTATAACACAGGAAAAAGCTGTGATTCAAAAGATAGTTTAAAATTAAAAAAATAATAATAATCAGAATTAAAATCAAAACCTTTTTCTGGGTGCAGACGATCATGCCTGTCAAAGGCATTTGGGTTAATTACTATATTTTTGATAAATTACTTGATAAGCACTTAATTTTTTCTTTAAGCCAATCAAGTTCTGTTAACAAAAGACCATGAAGTCTGTGGAGGAAAAATAAAGACAAGCTATATTTTTTGAAAAAAGCCATCTGCAGATCAGAGGAGACCAAGCATCCTGATTGGTAGAAAACAGCTGAGTCTCAACTGGGCAGTTTCCAAGTCCAAAACAGAAATCTCTGTTGAATGCCCTTTGCAGGCAGCTAGTGGGAGGAGTTTTCTGACACAGTGTCTCACCTAGGGTTATAGGAAGCACCTTAGCTCAGAGGCACAGACAAGACGTTTGTCTGGAGCCCTCTCCAGCAACATGGGAAACATGGCTGCCCTTTTCTCAGTCAATATGCTTCTGGGTTAGTTTCGTGTCACAGGTCTTTATATGTTTTGATAGAAAAAATATATACATATAACACATAGACATAAAAATTACAGATGAACAAAAGATCTTACAGAAAAATATTATAGTTTTTATTTTAAAAATCATGACTAAAACATAACATTATAAATTCACTGGTTTATAAGAAGAGAGTTGGATCCAAATTATATTTCTGACAAAGTGGGTTAAGGCTAAATTTAAGATTTTCTTACATTGTCTTGATAAGTAACCTTATGAAGGCTGTCGAACCAAATGTTGGGTAAAGCAGTTGGAGTCAGTTACTAATATACTGGATTGAACAAAACATAGTTAACTGTGAAAATGTGACCACATTATGTAAGGAAGCATAAAAGATAAAATAATTATTTTTATAAGATCTGTACAGTATGTTCTTGATTTCAATTCCTTGTCCTTGAAGATAAGAGTGCTGTGTTCCCTTCTAGTATAAGGAGGGTGCCTATTACATGAAAATTTTATTTTTTGCTTTTAAGATGCAGCACTAAGGTTCAAATGATTTTTTTTTACCTGCTGTTTCTCAAATGTTTTTCCTTAAAAATTCAATATGCCAGAATAGCTGAGGAATTTTGGAAACAGGAGAGTTTAGCTTAGAGAAGAATAAAAAGGAAGAGGTATAGGAAGGGGAGGGGATGGCTCTAGAGTTGCAGCTAGCTTTGAGGCGGCATTTTGTAATGAGGAAGTCTGAGTCCTTAATGTGTTTGGCAATCCTGAGATATCAGTTGAGATATGGATCCTATTTGGACTGTATACTTTTATAGCCACAGTGTTTTAGTTTAGCTCTAAGCAAAACAAGCTGTTTGATCCCCATAATGTTTGAACATGTCATGGGCTGAAGTCTCAAAGACGGGTACTACGTTGTCATGTCTTTGAACTTTGAGAGTACGTGTTGTAAATAAATTTATCTAGAAGAGTTGGTGCTAAGGCTGAACACACCGTCACACCTTTAATTGGTGTTGAGGTGAAATATCAGACATGTATAACTAAACCAAAAAGTAAAGTACATATTCACCCCAGGAAGGACAACAAAGCATTCTCAACAGGAAGGAAAATCCTTCATAAACCAGCAGTGAAAAAGCCTTGTTTGAATAGGACACTACATAAACAGAAGAGAGAAGTTCCTCATAAGTTCTCATTAACAGAAGGTCAAAAGATCTCTCATAAGCAAATCCCAAAGAAAACCAAAAACTCAACCAAAACAAAACACTGGGAGTTTAATCTATGAAATACTCTCCATGGGTAAATAGTCAACCTGCGGAAGCAGGGATGTCAAGGGTCCCGAGTTTGGGTACAGCAGGCCTTATGTAGTTACCAGAACCACTGGTCCCTCAGCCCCTACTTCACACCAGATTATATCAACATAAACATTTTCTTTCAAATATGAAAGGAAAAGATTTTATTTGGAAATGATATACAAGAAGTAGAATTATGATCTAGGACATACATATAGGCCTCAGATAAATCTGGAGAAGAAAGAACAAAGCAGGGGTTTATTGGGGAAAGAGGAGGTTATGCAAGTTGAAAGAAAGCACATTGGTACTGGCAGTGTCTTATCAGAGCTGGTAAATTCTGATTCACAAATGTGAATAGGATTTCTAATCTTGGTAGGATATGTAATCTTTGAGTTATAGGTAGGCCCTTGCAGTTTTGGATTGGGTGTGTGAGACAGTGTGTCAGGCAAGTGTTCTTGTATACTCACTAGCTGTCTTTGTGCTGCTATCTGTTCTTGCATAGTTCATGTAGTGAGCTGCTGTTTGGAAAAATGTCTTGTGACAGTTCCTGTTTTTAGGCAAATCATGCATGAGAGACTTTCCTTTATGGCCTTCCCTGGCTCCATTGCCAGGGTTTGACACAAGTGACTTTATTTTGAATTTTATAACTTTCACACATCCATTATGATTTCTCCCTAAGTGCTAAATCACAACAAATTCATGGTTTTAGGCCGAAATATCAATGCTCTGCATTGTTAAGTACGTTATATTCCAGCTCCTTTACTTACCGGATAAAATCAAGGACATCTATCCTGCTTTTTAAAATACAAATAAATGTGCTTGCTGTATAATCTCACCAGTTTATTTTCTCAAGATCTGGGGCAATGGAGTTGCCAGACCACTGGGGACTTTATGTTTGTTTCTTTCTTTGCTTTATAAAAGATTTTTGTATTCAGGAATTTTATCAACCACCTGATTGAGCAAGATAATTCTGGGACATATATAATGGGGAAGAAATCTAGAATTATCTCCTCCGTATCACATGTCCCAGAAATCTTTTGCCAGGTAATGTTGTGGAACAAACACAAAATGGGTGGCTTAAAACAATAAAAGTATACTTTTTTCTCATATTACTGGTTAGCTACAGGTTAAGTCATCTGGTGTGTGTGTGTGTGTGTTACTTCTAGAGGGAATAGAGGGAAGAATGGTAATAGTAGGGAAAAGATATTTAAGCCTCTTCTAGCTATAGTGAAGTACATATTTGTTACAAATAAGCTATTAATTTTATATAGTACTATTTTTTTTGACAATTGTTACTTAGTTTTTATTTCATAATCATAAACTTAACTCTGCAATCCAGCTAGGCATGGGAGAGAACAAGGAAAACATGGAACCCAAAGGGAACTGCAGCGAGAGCACAAAGATTCTAGGATACTGCGAGCAAATGGGGTGGAGGGGTGCTCTCCTGAGCTACAGAAGGAATGGTCTGGTGGTTAAGATAAAACACAAGTCAAACTTATTCGAGTTGTCCATAGTCAGCAATAGTGATCTTCTTGCTGGTCTTGCCATTCCTGGACCCAAAGCGCTCCATGGCCTCCACAATATTCATGCCTTCTTTCACTTTGCCAAAGACCACATGCTTGCCATCCAACCACTCAGTCTTGGCAGTGCAGATGAAAAACTGGGAACCATTTGTGTTGGGTCCAGCATTTGCCATGGACAAGATGCCAGGACCTGTATGCTTTAGGATGAAGTTCTCATCTTCAAATTTCTCCCCATAGATGGACTTGCCACCAGTGCCATTATGGCGTGTGAAGTCACCAATATCATGTTCAATTGTTTTGATTTTTAGTTCCCACAGATGAGTGAGAACATGGTAAGTTTGTGTATCTGGGCTTGGCTTATTTCAATTAACATAGTATCCTCCACTTCTCATTCATTTTTATGGCTGAATAGTACTCTATTGTGTATATGTATCACATTTTTTCTTTATTAATCTGTTGATGGACACTTGGGTTGCTTACAAATCTTGGCTATTATGAATAGTGCAGCAATAAACATGAGAGTGTAGATATTGCTTTGATATACTGATTTCCTTCCTTTTGGGTATAAACCTAGCAGTGGGATAGATGGATAATACAGTAGCTCTACTTTTTGTTTTTGAGAACAAGAAAACTTTTGCAATTCCTTATTTATATATAAAATTTTAAAAATTGTATTTATAAGGCTGGGCATGGTGGCTCATGCCTGTAATTCCAGCACTTTGGGAGGCCGAGGCGGGTGGATCACAAGGTCAGGAGTTCGAGAACAGCCTGACCAAAACGTGAAACCCCGTTTCTACTAAAAATAAAAAAAAATTAGCCGGGCATGCTGGCACATGCCTGTAGTTCCAGCTACTCAGGAGGCTGAGGCAGGAGAATCACTTGAACCCAGGAGGTGGAGGTTGCAGTGAGCTGAGATTGTGCCACTGCACTCCAACGTGGGTGACAGAGTGAGATTCCGTCTCAAAAAAAAAAAAAGTATTTATAGCTAATTATATTGAATGCATTAACAGGTTATAAATTAATTTTAGATGCATATGTCAATTTTCCTATGGGTGTATTGTGATGTCATACAATAACACTTGTTATTTTGCACATTCTTTTCACAGCAATTTGAAATGTAAACTTCTCTTATATTTATTTCCAAATACAAATATTGTGCTTTAAAATTTTATACCATCTTGTTTGTTTTTTGTTTTTACGTGGTGATTTATTAAATTCCGGGATGTAGCATACTGTGCAATAACAAAATGCCTGTTTTAAAATAAGAATTCAAAAATTATGGCCAGGTGTGGTGGCTCACATCTGTAATCCCAGCATTTTGGGAGGCTGAGGCAGGTGGATTACCTGAGGTCAGGAGTTCGAGACCAGCCTGGCCAACATGGTGAAACCCCATCTCTACTAAAAATACAAACATTAGCCAGACATGGTGGTGGGTGCCTGTAATCCCAGCTACTCGGGAGATTAAGGCAGGAGAATTGCTTGAACCTGGGAGGCAGAGGTTGCAGTGAACCGAGATCACACCACTGCATTCCAGCCTGGGCAACAGAGTGAGACTCCATCTCAAAAAATAAATAAATAATTATGGGAGGTATATGTGTTTAATACTTAGCAACACTATATTATTTGTCACTAACCTATTGATTCCATGGTTTTATATCTGACAGCAAATTTTCTAATTTACTTATATATATATATATATATATATTTTATATACTTCCATTTTTCCATAATTTTCTTTTTATAATTTTTCTCATAAAAAAACTTTAGAATAATTGGTTGTTATCATTAAAACATCTTGGTACATCTTGACAACAATTACAATAATATTACAAAATAATTTCACACAAAATGTGTTTATCATGTTGTGTTTTTGCATTTAAATAAGAATTAAAATATAAATAAAATAAAGAGTTTTGGCTTCTCATCTGTTACATTCATCTCACATTTTGTTTGGGATATTTTGTCAGTTATAGAGAATAAGCAAAAGAGCAAAAATATTGAAATATGCTTAGTATATTGTATGGAATATATTTTTTCAGTGTTTATATTTAGAGAAGGGCAGGAAATTGTAAGGTAGTTAACATTTCATAAGTGAACCTCAACAAAAAAAGCAAAAATATCTATCCCTTTCAGCCAATAAATGTCATTTCATAAAATATCATGTAGCAAACCAATAATATGGTTTGCATAAAGTGTAGATGCAACATTTCTTGTTGGATTAAACTTGTAGTTGACCAGTTTAATCCTATAATATTTAGCATGAAACTCTGATATGCAGATAACAGAACTGAGTTACCCACTGTCAAAAATTCTCCACCCTGCACAAGAGAGGAAGTGTTGTTTTCATGAATGTTTGTAATTCACCAATTAACCTACCACACTTTCTGGTGGAAATATATTAACTTTTCTGCAGTCATAATGACAGAAACTTTTCCTAGCTAGTATTCCCAAAGCTAAGCCCTAGGATTCTGTTTGAAATCAAGCTAAAATAGAACAGACTTCAGAATCTTACTACACTCACTCTGCAAAAAAAAAAAAAAGTAAATAATTTTTAATAAATAGACTAAAACTATATTTTTGTTTCTGAAATCCACTTCTTTCTTGCATCTGAGAAAATATTATATAGAATATTTTAAAACAATAGATGATTAATAATATCTTGGATTTTATGGCTACCATAAAAATGTGTTACTCAGATCTTATGTGGGAGACATAATTGACTTATCCCAGTTTTACACCTCTGGATTCACTACTGCCTTCACACTATGAGGACACTTCCCTCAGGCAGCTCCCAGCCAATGACTGAGCATGGCAGGGGTATTAAGCAGGCTCATTCTGGCAAGATGTGCATTTTTCCAAAATCTGACTCTGGAAAAAAGACTCATTGTACCAGCTGAAATCTTGCAACTGAGGGACTTCAGTCTGAAAGTCATCTTACCTAATCCTTTTTCTTCCCTCTCCCTTTTACATTTATCAGACCTGCATCATGGTCTAAAGGATCTCACCTGACTCTCCTGCTCCCACGCCCAATAAATCTTTCGCACATTTAATTACATCTTGGAATAAACTTTCAATAACTCAGACTTGCATAAAGTGCGGATCTACCAAAATTTACTCATTTTAAAAGACTATAGCTATTATTGTCACCAAGCAATCTAAAAGGGCCTTGTGAATGTTTATAAGGTTATTTTTAGATATTCATTTGCTTCTTTGAAAATTAATTAAACCAAATCTAATAACCAAAATGTTAACATTTTGATGAGGAAGACTGGCAAGCAGTTCAGTTTACATCCTGCCTCATTCCTTATTGCTTTCCACATGACATTCTATCTTAGATACATACATAGGCATGCCATTTAGTGCTTAAATCTCAAAAATTATTTCTTCCTGACTTTGATGTAGCCCCCAAAGTCAGAATCAAGAAAATAAGTAATACATAAGAAGTACTTAGGCAAAGCGGGTAGAAATTGTTAAATAATGTGAAGTTAATGTATATTTCAGTTTGGTCAATATTTTGATAATAAATCCATACAGAAAAGTGTTTTCTGTTAAGGATTTATCCTTCCGCAAAATATTATCTATGCTTTATATTTTAAAGTCATATTAATTTATTATATCTCTAATAGAGATCAGTGGAAAGTAATTTTAGACAGAAAATGTTGCATCTTTTACCTATATGCAATATGTCTATATAATTATATATATTTACAATAGAATAAATAGTGTTCAAGCTCAAGTTCATTTACCATCATCCATGATTAACATTAATAAGCCAAATTACTGGACGAATCTTTAAAGTGCTGTCACTTTACCAACAGAGAATCAAATTTTAAATAATATCCTACCAGATCCTTCTTTTGTTCTACTTTTTGCTGTGGGCATTTATGAGAATGTATCTGCCTGGGCTTGCTAATCAATGTGGCAAACTGAGTTGATAACAAATTCTTCTTTGAAGCCATCATTTACCCTGACTATGTTGTAGTTGAACTAATGACTTGGTGGATAGATTTGTCAGGACCTTCTGCTAAGATTAATGTGGTCTTTCTTTCTTAGGCAAGTTAAAAAGAACAAAAAAATGTAAAAGGGAAAACAAAAAGCAGCAAGATTGGAGGAAATAACAATGAATATTGGTATTACTGGAAATTTCAACTATCCTGTTTGAACTGATATCAATACTATCTATATTATGTCTTTTGATAAATTTTTTGGATTTATTGTTTTTGTGGTATTGTAATAAATCAATCCACAGGAAAATATATATGATAAATTAAAATTTATTTGATTTTATTATTTTTGCATTTGGCAAATAAATAGACAAAATGATAGGAATTAAATGTCACACAAATTAATAGTATAAAAATATGGATAATATTATTTGAAAAACTAAAAAGAATTAAAGTTTAGATTCAAGAGAAATCACAAATTAGTAATGTAGTAAAATATAGTTAGCTATCAATATAATCATGTAAAAGCAATGTTATGAAGTATTTTCCAAAAAACTTAAGTTGGCATTGTTTCTATTTTCCAGATATCAATTTAATGTGTTAAATCAGATTTTTTGTTATGGTATTAATGTTCAATTTTGAGTAACTATTAGCAATATCATTGGAGATTGTTAGAGAGGTTGAACAAAGTTATTTTAAAATAAAAATATGGAAAATATTTTTAAAATGTTTATGTGATTGTTTCTGCACTTATCTTTCTAAATTATTTTTATCTGGAAATTAAATATAAGTGAATAAGGAAAATAGAGAATGCTATCTTTTAATTAGTCAATTTTTTAAATTAAATTTTACTAGTATCCAAGCAATTTTAACAATGAAACTATTGAACCTACAATACATATACCAAATTTTCATAGGTGCTTTTATTTCATTTTCTCATTTAATACACTAAAATTAATATTTACCACAGCATAAAGAGATACGAGAGTTATTTTGGGGTGACGCTGTAATTCACTTTGCTCACTAAGGTATGTAAAACTTTCTTTCAGCTTGGGCTCATACAACGAAATGCTACAGACCGGGTGGTGTAAACAGACATTTATTATACACAGTTCTGGTGGACAGCAAGTACAAGATCAAAGTGCCGGCTGATTAGGTTGCTGGTGAAGTCTCTCTTCCTGGCTTGCAGACAGCCACCTTCTTTCTGTAGCCTCCTGAGGCAGGGAGAGAGAAAGAGAGAGAGAGGATGTTTTCTTATGTCTCTTTTTCTTCATATAAGGGCACTAAACCCAGGGCTCCACTCTGATGACTTTATCCAAACATAATTATTTCCAAAGGCTCCAACTTAA